CTTACATCTTAAATTTATGTGTTTGTTAACCACACATGTTCCGTGAATAGATAATAAGGAATAATGTGTGTTATTAACGGATTAGCAGCTATTCACATTTTCCCAAATAACTGAGAACGGGAATTTTGTTTTTAGTACTTTTATATGTTATACTTTTAACGAGATATGGTACTATCAAACCCTTTTGGGTAACGACAATCTACCATGCAAAGAAGCGGTGAGCGAAAAGGACACTCATTTAAAAGGTCATTTTATAAGATGTTTCCTTATACCATTGCTTCATAAATGAAGCATACTCTTGATTCGACTAACGATCATTAATCAAACATGTGAGTAAATATGGTGTATTATTATTTTACATATATTACTCGTATTACATATATAAAAATTTTGTTTTTGCATATTCTTATATAAACTTTTACAATTTTATGTAATGTAATTTTTAAACAATTTAAAATTATATGATTTAAAAGAATATATCTTTAATTAACTTTTAACTAATTAATTTAAAATCATTATCTATAATCTCTAGTATTTTATGCATATTTATCTTCTCAATTTAATTATCTAGTTTTAACAAATTAAAATAATATTTAAAACTAAGATAAACCCTAATTCGAAATTATAGCAAAAAATCACGAAATCCAAATCGCCAAAAAGTGCATCATGTCTAGGTCTCGGTGCGCCGCACCCTGCGAGTAGCACGTTTCTTCTTATTTTCTCAGTTTTTTCAAGTAGTGCTTATAATTAAAACCTAAATGCTCTAATACAACTGAAGGGTTTTCAACACATCTATATGCGGAAATTAGGCAACATAAGCGTTCAATATAAACTCTAAGTGTACATGCACCCTAGATCTAGGTTTTACTATTATGACAACGTACTTTCAAAACTAGGAATATAAACTATAGAGAAGGATTGATTTACTAACCTTTTGACAAAATCAAAAATTTTCATTTGGCTCCTTGAAGAATTCGAGTTCATTTGTTGCTCTTGGAAAGTCTAGCACCCAAAGTAGAATGCCTCTAATGACTCATACCCAAAAGATTAAGACCCTATAACTTTAAGAGAGAGAGATGGAAAGGAAAGAGGTTAAGAATTCCAAAATCACAACATTAGGGAGACTAAAATTGGTTTATCTAAGGCCTAGAGGGGACTTTATATATATGTGGTAATTTCCAGATAAACTTGATTTGAATCAATTAAATAATCAGATTTAATCATGATTCGAATCTTTACCCTTATCAGCCACCTAAAATATTCTAGAAGCCTTTTGGAACCTCTCCATAACCGTCCACCTCTATTTACAACCAAATGTTCCTTTTACTCAACTATTGAACAATTAACATTCAGCCCATGTACCTTTAAGTTAAATCCAAATTATTTTCAACAACTTTTAACTAGATTCTAATTAATTTATTAACATGTAATAAATTAATAAACTATTTATCTCACTCTCTTAAATTCTTTTCTATCTATTTTAGCTCTTGAGGGCAACCCAAAATGACTTTATTATTATTCCCAAAGTTATATCAATTAGTTATGACATTGGACAACTATTTCTGACAGCAGGTAGATCAGTGCAAGTAGTTTCTAATCATTAACGACCTATGATTACTTATATATTTTATATTTGCACATATATTTATATTTATGCATATTTATAGTTATTTTATAATTTTGTAAGCAAGATGATAGACTTATAGTGAATTTAGAGCCAACAACAAATATGGTCATGTTGAATGGTGGACTTTTAGCTCGACGTGGATTGAGCGCCATGCTTTAACTACCACAGATGTTCACATGGCACATTTTCTAACACCATCACAACAACACTCACCTACTTATAAGCCTCGACAAAAGAAGGCACATACAGATGTTATGAAAGGTTCATATGCATCTGACCCACCATTACCACCACTATCCATTGTACCGTCTACTGATAAGGACCAAATTATTGTTGAGTTACAAAATGAGTTTTGTGAATGTCATGAGTTGTTAAGGGGACATGGGATGCGTTTTACAGAACATGATGCTACTTTAGTCATGCTTCTAAAACTTATTAATAAGACTGTCAGAGATGATGTTGGTACCTCAAAGAGGGTGGAGGTATATTGTTAATGAATTCACTCCCTTACACTCTTTATTTACCTTTATGGTATAGTCGTTATTGCATCGATTATAATTAAATACTACTGAACCGTACATGCACTTATCATGGAAGATGTTGGTACCATAGACAACAATGACTTATGGGTGCATGAGTATGGGTTAGGTGCACCAGAATAGCCGCTGAATGACGAACCTGAGCAACCATCTGTATATAAACACTCGTCTATATAAAAGAGATTCCCTAAGAAGAATACAAAACGCCTGCAATACTTCTTAGTCATTCGCACTATCCATATAGTATAATTCCTCATAGATATAGATGAAGAAAAAAGATGTTGTTCGTTGGACGGTCTTTTAGACCCTACCATTCATACTATATATAAAGAACCATATGCTTCGATGTTTTCTTTCACACCATTTTATCACTGGTGTACAGACGATTGAGTTTTGGAGGCGCTTATATGGGGAGAATAACGCGGGCTGGGTGGAATGTGATGTAAGTTATATAATTATGTAGTCATTACATAGTAGCTTATAATAACAATACTTGTTTTATTGTATACATCTGTTGATTGGCAACACATCATGATGTGGATCTCATTGTTGATAGAGTGTAGATCGGATGATGCTCTGTGGATGTTTGTGTCGACAACTTTCAGCACATATGCATATGACTAGAGTAACATAGCTGATGGATCCATTTACCCAGCTTGGTTTGAGTGTGATACAATATAACTTTGTTTCGATTGTGTTGCCTACTTAATAGTTATTTATAATATAATGCTATATCATGGTAACTTAATTTCAACCGTTTGTGCAACTTTACATCCATATGAATATACCAAATGCTCACTAGTTTTTGGATGTTTTGGATTTCAAGACATTTAAAATGCCTATATACGATAGCCATTGGGTGGACAACTATTGTTCAGAATACCAATCTTGGTTTATAGCTATGCGAGCCCGCATCTATAAACTCCTAGTGGGTATCAAGTATTAGGGTACCAAACCGACTAATGTAATCCCCTTTTAGAGTTTCAAAATCACCCTTGAAAAGGGGCGTACATGTACCACAACAGTCTGATAGTAAAGGAGATTATTGGGTGTTTTGTGTTGGTTCACAAAGATGTTAATCATGGGGAAATCATATAAGATAGAAGGTTCAACCAAAACATGGACCGTATCATATCACAAGAGATTGGTGGAAAATTTTGGGGTACTAAGATAAAATAAGAGTTCATTTGAACGTTGTAATATTATTTAAAACATATTTAACTTTATGCAATTATTACTTTTTGTAAATTTAAAAATTCTTGCATTATTATTTTTTGGACAAAATTGCAAAAATGGTTCCTATGGTATGCATTTTTCTAGGTTTTCGTCCAAAGCTCAACTTTTCTGGTTTAATGGTCCTTTTGGCCATGTTTCTATGTGGAAATGGTCCATCCGAAAACTAAAATGAATATTATACCATTTTATTTTTATTTTTACATTTTTCAATATCTATTTTAATAATTAAAACAATAAAAGGGAACACACACACATACACACACACACTCTCTCTCTCTCTAAAAAAAAACCCATGAAGCTTCCTGAGTTTCGTCGTCTTCACAAACAAACCATTTGTAGAAAATAATTTTTTAGGTTTGTTCTAGAAAATACACACTCACACTCATGAATTTGAAACATTTATGGGACCAAAAAAATCAAAAGTGGAATATGATTCATTTGTTCTTCAAATCTTTTATGAAACCGAAAAAAAAAAAAGAAACCATAAATCGATTTGGGTGTATGTGTTCGTCCCCAAAAAGTGATTTGTTTGTACATGTGTGTTTTTATTTTTAAAATTGATATTTGTGAATATGAATTATTTCAAGAAGGTGTGTGTTGATCTAAAATCGTTCCCTCATCCTCCGGTTACCAACTCTCTTTAATCCTCGAGTAGCCTATGATTGGTAGGTGAGTGTGTGTATGTGTGTGTTTCTTTGTGGTGGTAGTTGGGTAAGACGAAATATGCATCTACGATTTTGCTCTTTAGTTCTTGAGTTTCAGAAAAGAAAGACAAAATCGATTTCATATTCAATAATACCGGCAAAATCATACCCTCCTTCTTCCCACGTGTGTATGCAGGTAACCAAACAAACGAAATTACCAAAATATTTCTTGTATACTCGAATTGCAATATAGGTAAAAATAAAATGTTGAATTCTTGATTACTGATGTCAACATCTAGAAAATGGTGGAAGCAAAAAAAAGAAAAACCAATCATTTTCCTCTTTTTAGGTGGAGTTCTTGATTACTAATTAGAATTGGTTTAGATTCTCTAACTCCACCTCATGTGTATATATGTTTATGTGTCTTAACTAATTGTGTGTGTTCATTTGAGAGAGAGAGAGAGAGAGAGAGAGAGAGAGAGAGAGAGAGAGAGAGAGAGAAGAGAGAGAGAGAGAGAGAGAGAGAGAGAGAGAGAGAGAGAGAGAGTTATTATTATTTTTTATTTATTTAAATAGATAAAGAATGAAAGAAAAATAAAAAAATAAATATGTAAGGGTATTACACTTTTAAATGTATTAAAACTACATAGAAACATGGTCAAAAGAACCACAAAACCAAAAAAAAAAATCGATGTTTAGACGAAATCCCAAAACAAATACATACCAGTGGGATCAGTTTTGTAGTTTTTTTCTATTATTTGCAATATATACATTTTATATAAAAAAACATATAAAACCATAAATAAATAAAAATAATAATTTTGATTGTTCTGGAACACTTCTCTGGAATCTTACCCCGGTGTCCCCCAGAGTTCGCTCGGTAATGTCCTCTTCCGAACATACTTGTCATTTTACAAAAATTAAAAAATATTGCTTTTTTTTTTTTTTTTTTTTTTTTTTATGTTCATTCATATGAGTTAGATCACTCAATTTCTCTTTATTAAAATGACGGAACACAATAGAATTGTTCTCAACTTTCATATATAAAATCTCACGATCGTTATCATTGATAATCTAGATTCACATATTTATATCATTGATAATCTAGATTCACATATTTAATTTTTAAAAGAAGACAAACAGGATCTATACTAATTTGTATAGAGGTAATTTATTGATAAATTTATGGATTCATGTCTTATATCTTGCAAAATAAATAAAAACATACAAAGTGAATTCATACCATCTTCTTGTTGGTCGTTGACGGAGATGAGGTTTACGCGCACCCTACGCGACTAACTAAGAATTTACAAAGAATAAGATGAATCCTATGTTAAATAATGTCCTCAAATACCCGGTTCTTTTAACGAACCTTCCTCAAATCATTCATAGTTCATACCATCGTTTCTGGGTTTCTTCAAAACAATTTTTTTATTTCATTTGACTTCGAATCTAGGGAGAAATTGACTTCGAAATTTATCATTTTTCCTTCACTTCTGTTCTGTTTGCTTTTCTGGGTAGACTTTCATTGCTGTCTTTAATGAGCATTTCTAGCTCCCCTCTTCAGATGGTGGGAAGCTCTGAAGATCATGGCGATTCCAGCTCTTGAGCTTCCAGGTTCGGAAAAATCCTTCCTTTTTCTGGAAATCGCATGTGGGTTTAACTCGAATTCGCTGATTGTGATATAAATCGATTTCACTTTATGCGTCAACTGGGTCATTGATTTGATCTGGTTAACGATTTTAGGTCTGTTTGATTGTTGTTTTTAGCATCCGTTAGTTGGATTATCTGTTTGACTAATTAGATCCTCGAACTCTTATTCGCTATCCATAGATTCTCAATCAAAAAATTCCATTTCTATTTTGGGGAAAAGTCTATTTAGTATATGAATCATAATGTTCTTATTCGTGATTCCTTTCTTATTACAGCCAAATCTGTAAAACTCATCGTGGATATGGACACATAGTCAACAATAACACCTTTCTCTCATGCGACTCAAGGCTCAAAACAATGGTTTTCCATTTCCGATGTTTCTCTTTTTTGTCTGCACAAAATGCACGAGAAACCACAACAGTTGATGTCTTTCATACTGCAAATTCCCGATTTGTTGATGCTTCACGAATGAATCAAACAGTTGCACCGAATCTAAACATAAGCCCAACACTTCGGAATTTCACACTTTCCGAACTTAAAACAGCCACTAAAGAGTTTCACGCTTCTAACAAAATCGGTGAGGGTGGATTTGCGATTGTATATAAAGGCACAGTGAAAAGCTTACAACATCGGTCCTTTCTTATTGAGGTGGCTGTGAAGCAAATTAAACAAGGACAACTGGTAAGTCTTCCTTAACACTTTCCTTATATAGTAACATTTGTAGTTTTAAACTTTAAATGTTTAATGAATGTTGTACTTTTTGGATAATAGGGATATAGAACATGGTTGACTGAAGTGAATGTTGGGGAAATTAACCATGATAACCTTGTGAAGCTAATTGGGTTTTGTAATGAAGATAGCCAATTGCTTTTGGTGTATGAATATATGCCTAAAAAAAGCTTAGATGGTCATCTAGCAGCTAACTCAAATACACCTCTCTCGTGGGGTAGGAGACTAAACATAGCTAAAGATGCCGCTACGGGTTTGGAACACTTACACAAGGCAAAGGTAAAATATTCCTTTAAATAGTTGTGGAGATTGATCTGTCATCTGTCATCTGTCATCTGTTCACTTTTGTCGTTATAAATCTCTATAACCCAAAAGTAGAAAGCATGTGTGCGTCTGTATTCTACGAATCTAATAAAATCTTTCTACTTTGTCTGTGGATGTACCACGATTAACCTGATTGACGGCGGTTTTACTATGGTGCCCAAAGTGGCATCGGCAACGCCTGGTTTTTCGGAAGCAGTACAATTTTTTTCTTTTTTATTATCGTGACACTACTAAAATTTATCTGTGACACCCCTACTATGAAATCTTGCGTCTGTCTCTATGGATTGGTGATTGTTGAGCCACGTTAAATCCTTGTGTTGTTATTTTTGGTTGCATCAATTGACTTGATGTTGTTATTAATTACAGATAATCTTTAGGGACTTTAAACCCTCAAATATTCTTTTAGACAACAATTGGAATGCGAAGCTTTGTGACTTTGGATTTGCTAGAGATGGCCCACAAGATGGACGTACCCATGTCTCAACAATGGTATATATATGTATGATTTTGTTGCTAAAATCGAAAATAGTTTTTGGTTTTTGTGATTTTTGTAATATGATGGAAATTTATTTAGGTGGTAGGAACAAAAGGATATGCAGCTCCAGAATATGTTCAAACGGGTCGACTGACATCTATGGTTGATGTATGGAGCTATGGTATCTTTCTTGAAGAGCTTATCACAGGTCGACCTCCAATTACCCAAAATAACCCTGAGAACAATGCCCAATGCTTGAGGTGGTTGTGCTGCTACACAGGGGCAGAAAAGTCAAAACTAATAGTTGACCCGAGGCTCCAAGGGTATTCAGAGAGATCGATGCAGAAGGTGACTTTAATTGCTAAGAAATGTTTGGAGAAAGATCCGAAGATGAGGCCAACAATGAGGGAGGTTCTTGAAATGGTGACAGATGCTATTGCATCGGAGAATCAGCAGGTTGGCTGAGTATTTGTTATATAAAATTATATGTAAAAAAGATTTTATTTTTTCCTTGGATTCTCGATATAGACTATTTTTTGACCTGTTGAAACTGGTCTGATATAGTGGTATGTGTATATTTTTTGGGAAATTATTGGGACTTGTGTGTATACTATATATAGAAATTGTGTTCTTTTTGAGACATTCTTAAGGGTTTTTAAGTTTTTCATCTTCTGAAAACTAATTAATGAATGTGAATTTGTTTTTTGAATTTTGGAATGTTAAGAGATCTCAAAGAGGCATGTAAAGTGTTCGATGAAATGTCTCAAAGAGTTGCTTATACATCTATGTTAGGTATAGCTAATTGCATGCACTTAAAAGATTGTGAATGTATTTCTAGTAAATGGGTTAAACGTTGTTTTGTAAATGAATTAAAAGTTTTAACCCAAATAAACTATAATGTTTAAACCCATAAAAAAAGGTGTAGTGATTTTATTTGTACATAATAAAATTTATCTATACACAACAATTTGTATTTTAAACATGTGATAAAATGTTGTGTACGAATAAAAATTATAGCCAATCTTATTTTTATCCATAGAATAGCAAGCAAAAAATACACTCAATGTCTAATGTTTGGTGATGCCTCATGTTATGATTTTAAGAATCTTGAAAGGTCATGGCCATCACCTCCATTTTTTCAAAAGAACACCGTGTAACTTTAATGAAGAGACTTTTCTCCTTAATAAACAAACTATTAATTTAAGTTCAATTAGAAAAATATTTAGATTAAAGTAATCAATCAATAAGAACGGCTCAAAGATACTCTCTCCATTATTTTAAGTTATGTGGGATAATTATGTAAAGATACTCTCTCCATTATTTTAAGTTATGTGGGATAATTATGTAAAGTTGGGGTACTCGTAATCAATAATTTCCATAAAATATTTAGAGAAATTAAATTGCTTCCTACTTTTTATGCCTACAAATATTTCTACCCAATAAAATTATGACAAGTGTCATCATTCCATATTTTTTTAACTAATTCATTAAGGCTATATTAAGAATATATCAATTATAGTTAAATTGAATGATGATTTATCATAATTTTAGTGAGTAGGAATAATTGTAAGCATAAAAGGTAGTAGGTAATTTAATTTCTCAAATATTTATAATGGAATGAGTGAATGACGGTTATGTTAATTATTCTCACATTTTACCATATAAACTGTTAATGTACGATCCTTTTAAATATAAATTATTCTATGTATAGAAAAATTATTATGCTCGAATTATATCTTACCATTAAAAGTTAGTTTGAAAACTGCCAACCATTTCTTTGAAAAATATGAGGAATGAAAAACGTGACAAAGTGACAATATTTTAAGATTCTTACAAACAAATGCAACATTCGATAATCCAGTTTTTGTTTTTTTCTGTTGTATTGTGATAAAAGTAGTTCAATTAAATTACAATAAACAAAAAAAGAAGCAAAAGCTACAAGGTGAGTCATTTCTCAGAAAATGCCTGGTAGGAGACAAGGATATGCTATGCCATGCCAACGACTCTTTAATTCTCTAATTATCACATGTTTTAGTTTTTTTGGGTTAAAAATGAAATTAATTTTTACACTTAAAATTCCAATTGCTCATGTATACGAACTTTGTATTAGTTAACGATATTTAGTAAATCATTAAAGCTGTATTTAACATGTCACAACTAGCTGATAATATAACTTATTTTTAAAAAAAATTTTACATTGTTATGCTTGACAAACAAAAAAATAACTTATAAACTAGCTTTTTAAAAAACTAATTAGTTTAATTTTCCATGAGTTTTCTTAAGATTTTTCAAATGTACCCTTAATTAATTATAAAAAACATATTCTTCTAGATGTTATTTTATATATTTCAGTTAACATATCAGCTAGTTTTTACCAAATATTATTTTTATAAGTTAGTTTTTTAGTTAGTATGTCCAACATAATCTAAATCGTCAAAAAACTGTATTCTAATATTCATTTATAATTTCATTGATAATTCTAAGTTATTCATAAAAAGTGGAAAAAAAAAAGTGGGAGCCCGAGAGGTGTGTTGGCACCGTCTAATAAATTCTCTAAACATATATCATAAGGAATTCAGTATACATTCAACGAGTTGTACTTGTGGTTGATGTGACATAATAGTAAGAATGTGAATAACATCCCGATAAATTATGATGGATAATAGTGATAAGGCGATAAGGAATTCAGTATACATTCAACGAGTTGTACTTGTGGTTGATGTGACATAATAGTAAGAATGTGAATAACACCCCGATAAATTATGGTGGATAATGGTGATAAGGTGGAGTGGTGGGTTGTGGTCACCACCATAATTAACCACACACAATCATATACTTTTCTCTTTCTATCTCTCTCTCCATTTTTAATAATTAGATTATTATATTATGTTTAAATAATAATAATAAAAAAAAAAGATATAATGATATAGTGTGGTGAGCATACCAAACTAATATAGTTGTATATGGTAATGAGGTGGTACTGACATAGCACCTATCTATATTTATTTATCAATCTATTTATATATACTTATAAAAAAGATATTTTTACTTGTACTACATATATTTGAGATCTCCATAATTTTTTAATTTTTTTATAATAATTATTATAAATTTGTTAATAATGTTAATTAGATTAATGTAAAAACTAAATTCTAATTATAAATTAACTAAAATATAATACTAAAATATTATATTTTATTTATATTTATAAAACAATTAATTTATTAGTTTAGATATATTATCGTATGTGAATAATTGTTATTTTAGAGTCATAATTTTTGTATAATTTATGATTTTATGCAATATTGTTAAATTATTAATTTGAATATAATGTTAAACGATTAACTTAAATCAAAATTCCAGTTAAACTTGAAAAACATCGAGATATTTTTTATAAATAATTAAATGTTATAAATTATAGTGTTAAACATAAATTGTTATCATAAATTATCAAAAAAAACATGAAACTATTTTTTATAATCATAAACAATTTTCAAATAAGTAGCTTAAAAACAACTTACAATAGGAATAGTTAAAAGTAATATTATATAAAAAAAATTATAATGTCATCTTTAAAAATTAAAAAAAAATTGTTTTTTGTTTTAAATAGTTACAATCAAAAAATCTAACAATATTCATCAAATAAATTTTAGAAATGATAAATTTATGAAACCAAATTAAAATAATTAAGAGTTTCCAAATACATTAATAACTTACAACAATAATAGTTACAAGTAACATTATATACAAAAATTATATTGTTACCTTTAAAAACAAAAATAATATTTGATGTTGTAAATAATTACAATGATAAAAATTAAAACG